GAAGCCAGCATTACTTTGATTCCTAAACAAGACAGAGACCCCGCAAAAAAAGAGAACTACAGGCCAATATCCCTAATGAATATGGATGCAAAAATTCTCAATAAGATACTAGCAAATCGAATTCAACAGCATATAAAAAGAAGTATTCACCAAGATCAAGTGGGATCCATTCCTGGGCTGCAGGGCTGGTTCAACATTTGCAAATCAATCAATGTGATACATCACATTAATAAAAGAAAAGAAAAGAAAAGAACCATATGATCCTGTCAATTGATTCAGAAAAAGCATTTGACAAAATTCAGCATCCTTTCTTAATAAAAACCCTCAAAGTCAGGATAGAAGGAACATACTTAAACATCATAAAAGCCATTTATGAAAAGCCCACAGCTAATATCATCCTCAATGGGGAAAAATTGAGAGCTTTCCCCCTGAGATCAGGAACGCAACAGGGATGTCCACTCTCACCACTGTTGTTTAACATAGTGTTGGAAGTTCTAGCATCAGTAATCAGACAACAAAAGGAAATCAAAAGCATCAAAATTGGCAAAGATGAAGTCAAGCTTTCACTTTTTGCAGATGACATGATATTCTACATGGAAAACCCAACAGACTCCACCAAAAGTCTGCTAGAACTGATACATGAATTCAGCAAAGTCACAGGATACAAAATCAATGTACAGAAATCAGTTGCATTCTTATACACTAATAATGAAGCAACAGAAAGACAAAGAAACTGATCCCATTCACAACTGCACCAAGAATCATAAAATACCTAGGAATAAACCTAACCAAAGATGTAAAAGATCTGTATGCTGAAAACTATAGAAAGCTTATGAAGGAAATTGAAGATGATAGAAAGAAATGGAAAAACATTCCATGCTCATGGATTGGAAGAATAAATACTGTTAAAATGTCAATACTACCCAAAGCTATCTACACATTCAATGCAATACCAATCAAAATTGCACCAGCATTCTTCTTGAAGCTAGAACAAGCAATCCTAAAATTTGTATGGAACCACAAAAGACCCCGAATTTGTATGGAACCACAAAAGACTCTGGATAGGATTAAATACCTATCCACCAAAGGAATTTTGAAGAAGACCAAAGCAGGAGGCATCACAATCCCAGACTTTAGCCTCTGCTACAAAGCTGTAATCAACAAGACAGCATGGTATTGGCACAAAAACAGACACATAGACCAATGGAATAGGATAGAGATTCCAGAATTGGACCCACAAAAGTATGGCCAAGTAATCTTTGACAAAGCAGGAAAGAATATCCAATGGAAAAAAGACAGTCTCTTTAACAAATGGTGCTGGGAGAACTGGACAGCAACATGCAGAAGAATGAAACTCGACCACTTTTTTACACCATTCACAAAAATAAACTCAAAATGGATAAAGGACCTGAATGTGAGACAGGAAACCACCAAAACCCTAGAGGAGAAAGCAAGAAAAACCCTCTCTGACCTCAGCCACGGCAATTTCTTACTTGACACATCTCCAAAGGCAAGGGAACTAAAAGCAAAAATGAACTATTGGGACCTCGTGGAGACAAAAAGCTTTTGCACTGCAAAGGAAACAATCAACAAAACTAAAAGGCAACCGACGGAATGGGAAAAGATATTTGCAAATGACATACCAGAAAAAAGGGCTAGTATCCAAAATCTATAAAGAGCTCACCAAACTCCACACCTGAAAAACAAATAATCCAGTGAAGAAATGGCAGAAGACATAAATAGACACTTCTCTAAAGAAGACATCCAGGTGGCCAACAGGCACATGAAAAGACGTTCCATGTCACTCCTCATCAGGGAAATACAAATCAAAACCACACTGAGATATCACCTCACGCCAGTCAGAGTGGCTAAAATGAGCAAATCAGGAGACTATAGATGCTGGAGAGGATGTGGAGAAACGGGAACCCTCTTGCACTGTTGGTGGGAATGCAAACTGGTGCAAGCCGCTCTGGAAAACAGTGTGGAGGTTCCTCAAAAAATTAAAAATAGACCTACCCTATGACCCAGCAATAGCACTGCTAGGAATTTACCCAAGGGATACAGGAGTACTGATGCCTAGGGGCACTTGTACCCCAATGTTTATAGCAGCACTCTCAACAATAGCCAAATTATGGAAAGAGCCTAAATGTCCATCAACTGTTAAATGGATAAAGAAATTGTGGTTTATATACACAATGGAATACTACGTGGCAATGAGAAAGAATGAAATATGGCCTTTTGTAGCAACATGGATGGAACCGGAGAGTGTTATGCTAAGTGAAATAAGTCACACAGAGAAAGACAGATACCATATGTTTTCACTCTTATGTGGATCCTGAGAAACTTAACAGAATCCCATGGAGGAGGGGAAGGAAAAAAAGAAAAGTTAGAGACGGAGGGAGCCAAACCATAAGAGACTCTTAAAGACTGAGAATAAACTGAGGGTTGATGGGGGTGGGAGGGAGGGGAAGGTGGGTGATGGTTATTGAGGGCACCTGTTGGGATGAGCACTGGGTGGTGTATGGAAACCATTTTGACAACAAATTTCATATTAAAAAAATTAAAAAATAACGGTGAACTCCAAATCCTCTGGCCCAGCATTGAGACCTTTAGCAGGGAATGGCTTCATGACCACACCCTGGAGAGCTTCCAGGCATTCACTGGCAAAACTTGTACCACTATGACCTAAATCTGGATGGAATGCCTTGTGACTCTGCCAGGAACATAGCAAGGTAGATGATCTTTAAAGGAGGCTTCACAAGATTGTTTTCTCACTTGTTTTTATCTTGTAATATCACATTTCAATTATATTTTATTAGTTTCAGGTATACAACATTCAACAAGCTAACCAAATGGTCAACAAACTAACCACATTACCAAATGGTCACCCCGAAAGGTTTAGTTACCACCTGTCATCAGACAAAGTTATTACAATATTATTGGCTATATATTCCCGATGATTGATTTATTTTATAAGTGGAGGTTTGCAGCTCTTATCTGTCTCTCCCTATCTTATAGGAGACTGCCGCGAGACAGTTTTCCCATCCACCTCCCTGGTTCCAGAGAGGCACAGGACTTTCTGGCTCACACCCACACTCCCCTTCAAGGGCAGAGCCACAGGCTCTGTGACCATTTGCTGCAGTCTGGAGTTGGTTTCTCAGCAACAAGGCACCTCACAACTCTGTTGAAGTCATGAGGCCCCTTTTGTTTCAATGCCATTATTTCAGGGTGTTAAGACAAGGACTCGGACAGCTGGCACTTTCAGTTTCTCTTGCCTCCACTATCTATGTAAGTAATAAGCTGTCTGGAATCTAACAAGGGCTTATTATTTCTTTACCAGCTGAATCTGTCAGTCTTGGATTTGAAGTTCCCTTTGTTTTTGGTGCCCTTTATAATCTGATGCAATGGAAGCCTTTTACAACTAACCCCAACCTATTACCAGTCCAACCAACCATCTTATTATAAAACTTAGTATATGATATTGTAAAAATCTGCTTCTTTATCTCTCACCCTTTTTGTTCTATCCGAGATAGTAGCCTCTAGCCACATATAGCTAATTAAATTTCAATTTATTAAAAATAAATTAAATTAAAATTTTAATCCCTCAGTTACAGTAACCATTTTAATTGCTCAAAAGCCCACATATAACTAGTGGTTACTGCATTGGACAATGCAGATATAGAATATTTCCATCACCCTAGAATAGTCTATTAACACTAGATTATAAATTATTCTTCAAGGGCAAGAATTATTCCTTGTCCAACACTCTATTCTTCAGTTTCTAGAATAGTTCCTGGCACATAGTGATTGCTCAGTAAGTATTTGAGGAATTAAAAGGAAGAATAAAAGATAGATGGAACAGTTTAAAAAAAAAAAAGAAAAATTTCTCTGAGAGAGTATGAAGAAGAACGGAAACCCAACTGAATTTTCATAGGTTACTTCTGAAGAGGTGAGACTCTTCAAAATGCAACGGAATAAAATCTCCAGGCTTGCTCACTTCTCTGCAGCCGAAGGCTACACCCTGCACGTTGTAGAGAATCCAGGAAGCCAAAGCCACAAAGCAGCCGAAGGGCAAGAAAACAGCTGCGTCACACAGGATCAGCCCTGTGGTGGTTGCAGAGAGAGACTTGGGCAATCTGGAAGCAACCCGATAGGAGCTGAGAGCTGACAGCCATACTGTGGCATAAGTTCCAGGCATCCAGACTCCCAGGGTGAGGGGTATCAAGGCTACACCCCAGGGAGACTTTGACCCATCAGGAGAAAAGGCAGTTAGGAACTGGCCCACACTACCGCAGCAGGAGGCAGGAAAAAAGGAGAGCAAAAGGTCACCCACAGAAGTTAAAATTACCAGTCAAGAAACAGAATGTCATTCCCTCTAGGGGCTTTTTGCTCTTCATCACAGGCACTTCCTCCCCCTCCTTCCAAGCAAGAAATCCCAGAGGAAGATTTCTCCCATCAAGAAACAGTCTCTCCCTGGAGCACCTGGGTGGCTCAGTTGGTCAAGCGTCCGACTCTTGATTTCGGCTCCAGTGGTGACCTCCCGGTTGGTGAGATGGAGCCCCACGAGGGTGCTGTCAGCATGGAGCCTGCTCTGGATTCTCTCCCTCCCTCCCTCTCTCCCTCTGCCCCTCACCCTCCCCAACTCCCTCAGAAAGAAAGAAAGAAAGAAAGAAAGAAAGAAAGAAAGAAAGAAAGAAAGAGAGTCTCTCTCTAAGTTCACATTAGCAGGATCCTGACTTTTACAGCCAAGTGTGCAGTTTGCCCCCAAAATAGTCTCAAACAGTCTCTTGTTGGGTGGATGCATCTGACATATCTGCCTTTCCAAGCAACCGGCCACCCCGGGGCGTTAACTGCAGGTTCCTCAGAGAGCTGTGCTGCCCATCCAGACGAGAGGAAGGCAGCCAAAGGAAAGCCGCCTTCCCAGGTACCAAGCGGCTGAAATACAGAAAGGACCTTGTCTGCGGCATCCCCACATCCCCGACTGCTGCACACTCACTCACCCTGAATTCCTCTGCAGGAAGCGGCCTGGAGCAGGATGGTTTGCTGAGCCAACGGAAGCCCTTCTGCTTTTGCTGACGTGTTCTCCTTCGAACACCCCAGCCCACGCTTCCAAGGTGAAGTTGTGTCACAAAACTATCAGCTGCTCCTTCCTTCTATAGGTCCCCTGTGAGGGGACTACCAGCCGGTGTTGCCGAGGGGTCAGGACAGAGGCTTAGTGGAGCTGCTGCACCTTTCAGTCCCACTGGTTCTTGTGTTTCATCACACAGCTCTGGTTTCTAAGCCTCTCCCTGACTCCTCCTCTCAATCCCTGGCTCTGGTCTCCTTTACTCCAAATCCTTTTCTATTTCCTCCTCTAAGTCATTGGTCTCTTAGGCAACTGCCTTTTTGATAGTGTCTAACAAGGTAACTCCCAGTTACCCAGCGTCAGAGCCCAGAGTGTGGGCTTAACGCTCACCGGGGGCCTGTTAGGTAAAGGTTCCTGGGCCCTGCACCTGGAGGCTCTGACCAGAATAAGGCTCCAGGATCTGTATCTTTGACCGGGAATCGCCAAGGCATATTCCGGTGTGCAAACCACTCTTCCAAGGGACCGCAGAAGCCCTCACAGTGCAAAAATGCCTCCCCGGGGCCAGAATCCCTGAAGTCCGCCCTATGGTTAGTCTCATGAGTCAATGTCTCTTGTCAAAGTGTACAAGTCATCAAGTTTACAGACCATGGCCTATGCTTCCAGGTTGCCACCTGCTTGAGGGAGGGTACCATGTCTTTTCACTTTTGCATCTTTGGCAGCCCGTGAGGTGCGGCTGGAAGACCACCCGTCTCTGGAACCAGAGACCTAGATTGGAACCCTGACTCTTTAGCAGTGTGACTGACCTCAGGCAGATTGCTTAACGTCCCTTGTGCTTCAGCTTTTTAAACGGGAGTGATACATACATGTATTACAAGTGAAATACAAGCCTCGAGGAGAAAGGGCTGCTCTTGGAAGTCATGGACAGGCTGAAAGTTCTGAGAGAAGAAAACGGTGTGTTGGCACACAGCCATCACACTGGATGAGAAGTACCTAGGCAGGGTAGCAAGGTTCCCAGCCGAGTGACTAATTCCCAGGAGCAGATCCCAGGATGGGATGTGAGGTGGGTGAGGAAGGCAGCAGAAATTAGTATCACTTTTATGATGATTCTTTTTTTTTTTTTTTTTTTTTTTTGACAGAGCGCATACATGCAAGCAGGGGAGGGACAGAGGGAGAGGGAGAGATAGAATCTTAGGCAGGGTCCACACAGCGCAGGACTCAATCTCATGACCCATGAGATCATGACCTGAGCCAAAATCAAGAGTTGATCACTTAACTGAGCCATCCAAGGTCCCCATTTTCATAAAGATTCTAAGAGAAGTGCAAGAAAAGGTGAGCAGGTCATGATGCTTCAGCACCCAGGTAATAAAGTGAGGAGCAGGTTAGACGGCATAGACCCAGGTCTTCTCCACTCTGCTGCTCAGAGCAGAAAACATCAGAAAACCATGGGCCCCTAAGGGATGTGGCCAAAGAAGACTGGGGACGCCGGATGGTAAGGTGATGACTATGTAGAAAAGAGGCATCCACAGTTACTAATAGCAGGCATGCACCATGCAGAAACAGCTGAGGTCCTCTCGGGAGGAAGGATATCTAGCTCCAGTCTGCCTTCAGACTCACGAATGCAACACCAGCTCTTCCCTGGGTGTCCAAGCCTGCTGGCCTACCCTGCAGATTTGAGTTCCCACAATCACAGGAGCCACTTTCTTAAAATCAATCAATCTCTCTTCCCCTCTCATTATGCACACCCTCTTAGGGTATATTGACCAGGCCTGAGAACATAACTGACTTAAGACAGATTCAGAGGAGAAAAACATGCAAATGTATTTAATATAAGTTTTTATGTGTCACGGGAGCCTTCGTAAGGAATGAAGAGCCAAAGAAAGAGCAAAACCTTCCTGCAAGTGTCTCTCCACTTCTGATTTGTGAGTTTCAGAAGCTCCCACATTCTCACGGTGCTGGGCACGGAAGGCAGCCAAGAGCTGACGGCCAGCAGGTCGGCCCTGGGATCATCATGGTGTAGTGTAAGCTGACCCCTTAGCATAGGATATGGGGTATATGCATCTACCAGGGACCTGACAGAAGACACGACTTACACTCAGAGAATTTGCAAGGGCAATAAAAGCCAAGTGGAGCAAATGCAGAGAGTGAGAGTGGGTTGGCCAGCTGGCCTGGACCTTGCCAAAAGGACAGGTACATCGATGTACGTAAGAGGCCAATGCCTGGAGATCAGACTAGTTACATTACTAAAAGGTTAGAGAAGCTGGTCAAGAATGTTATTTGATCTGCATTCATGCCAATCTTTGTAGTAGTGATACTGAAAAACTATGTGGAAAAAAACCACAGAACCTTCTTGGTTTTGAAAAACCATAAAATACAGGGCACACCTAGTTGGCTCAGTTGGGACAGCATGCGACTCTTCAGCTCAGGGTTGTGAGTTTGAGCCCCATGTTGGGGGGAGAGATTAGTTAAAAAATAAAATATTAAAAAAAAAAAGAAAACCCATAAGCTAGAAATCAAGGGATATATATCAGACCAAACACTAACAGCATACCTCATAGTCATTCTTCTTAAAATCCAAAACAGGAAACAAAATAATTATACCCATAGGGCACCTGAGTGGCTCAGTCAATTAAACATCTGACTTCAGCTCAGGTGATTATCTTAGTTTGTGAGGTCTAGTCCTGCTTAAGGTGAGCTCAAGCCTCACTTCGGGTGAGCCCCACTTCTCTCTCTCTCTCTGCCCCTCGCTCATCTGTGCCCTCTCTCTCTCAAAAAATAAAAATAATAATTATAATAATTATACCCATTAAACCCACTATGATAACTATTATATAGCGTATGGCATATACAACTAATGCATATAACATCTAACATATATAGTTGTTAGATAGCATATAGCACAGGAGATATTAGCCATTGCAATTACACGATTATTATAGCCAAAGGAGTGACATATTCTAATTGACTAGGTCTGGGAGATGTGAAAACTTATCTGAATGAGAAAGGAGAGGCTAGTAGCCTCAGTCATACTGAATGGAATAATTTTATGCCCAACATAGGGAATATCAGACATCAAATAAAAGAAAAAGAGTTTAGGCAGATACAATGAAGTGTCCCCATGTGACTTCTATTCTAATTCCTCACTGGCTCCCCCCATCACACCTACAAAATCATTCAAATATGTTTTTGCTGGTTTATCTTCACTTGATTATCTACTAATCACCTTTCACATCCATCCATTGCAATTCAGTAACTCAGGAATATTTGGATGGTGACTTGCCCCTTAGAGAATGTGTACTTGGACAAAGTAATCTGGATTGTTCTAAACCCAGGGTCATCAAACTGTGCCCTGTGAGCCAAATCCAGGCTACAGCCTGTTTTTCTGCTGCCCAGAAGCTAAGAGTGGCTTTTACCATTGTAGATACTCGGAAAAAAATGAAAAGAAAATTACTATTGTGTGACATGTTAAAATTATATGAAATGCAAATGTCAGTGTCCATAAAGAAAATTTAATTGGAACAGAGCCACAGTCATTCATTACAGCCTGTGCTGCCTTTGTGCTTTAATGGAAGAACCCAGTAATAATGACAGAGACTTTATGTATGGCCCACAAAGCCAAAAATATTTGCTATCTAGTACTTCATAGAAACAGTTTGCCAGCCCCTATGGTACACAATCCACACCCTCATGGCTCCTTTCCTAAAATGCAATTCTGTGAATCTCAGATTGTTTCTTTCTTAAAATGCTGTATGTTTAGACACAAAAATTATTTCATTTTATTAGCGTTTGTTGAATTTATTGTAGACCGACTCAATCATGTTACCTCCGTATCAGCTTCCATACTGCCTTAAAATAATGCTCTAGTTTTTCAGTGACAATGATGTAACCATGAGCCATGAGCATATTTTCAATGAGAAATCTAAACATATTTAATTTGAGTTTTAAGAAATCAGCAAATATGAGCACCTGATTCTACACACGTCTGTTTTATAAACCAGGGGATTCTGTAGTTCATTTTGGTAACTTTCTTCCTCCAGAGAATTGCTATTATAATTATAAACTGGAAAATTTTAGGGCAGGTAGAGCCCTAAATTTATTTTTCGAAATAGAAAATCCTCTGTGTATGATGCTGGATTAAGTGGGAACCATTTTTCCCTTTCCAAGTCAAGACATGACCATTGCCATCCTCTTGCTTTCTCTTATTATAACCTCCCGCAATAAGAGGTCAAAGACATTGTTCCATGAAAATCAAGTGAAGGTCTGATATTGCTTCTCTATTTCTCAGGAACATTTTCTCTTCTCAGAGTTGACTGGTCACAACTGGAATGAGATGCTTCCTGAGAAACTTCTGGATCTCCTTCCAAGAATGCTCCTGTGCAGCTGCATGCAGGGTCACCTCTCCTCCCCACTGCATGAACAGGTGGAGTTTGGAGAGCTTTGAGGCACAGCACAGTGGGGAATAGGGAGGCTCTAACATGTGGCCTGCCCCAGGGTATGATAGCAGGGTCCAATTGGCCTTCCCATTTCTCCTCAACTGTTCTGTGGCTTGCTCAGCATATGCTTTGCTGTTGATACTCTTATCATCTTCTCCCACAATGAAGAGGAAATGTCCCTGGGCCTTTTCAATGGGGAGAAATAAGGTCTCACTGGCTTTACTTCTAGCTTCCTCAAAACAATACTGGAACTGTGCTAACCCTAAGGCATTGATAGATACTAACTGTGGAGAGAAGGACAAGGGCTGACTAATTTGACCGCGATATACCTGTGGAGTGCTAAATACAAAGTTGGGTCCATTAATAAGCACGGTGGCTATGACCTGTTTTAGGTGAATAGCCATGGAGAGTCCAATCTCTGCTCCTTTGCTTATGGAAACTATCCCAACGCCTGGGCCAAGGACCTAAAAATAATGAAAATGAGACATTGATTTTATCCACCATTTAGCAAAACCCTACCATCTCAAACAACCAAAGAACTTGAATGGCCAATCGGAATCAAGCAAGGATTAATCCCACCTACATGCCCAGTTCTAGAGTTCTGAAATATGTAATGTATGTTCAAAGGAAATACTCCTTCAAGAATATGTCAGGCTTTCCAAATTAAATACTATGAATTCAGCATGGTGTTAGGTGCTGAGTTTAAAATGCCCTAAAGAAATACCAATGTAGTAGGGAAAATAAGAAAAGGGCACATAACTATTGTGAATAGTATGAGTCAAGGTATAGCTAATTGGTAAACTTTGTTGTACCAATACTGGGGTCTCTAAAGGTCATAGGAAAGGCACTCTGTAGGAAAAGACTGAGGAAAAAAAGGTAAAATTGGTAAAATAGAGCATTGAAACACGAACAGAGGATTCTACATCTGCTGTGGTTTCCATAGAAGGTTTCTCCTTTGGAGAAAGGTTTCATGAAGGAGGCTTGGCTCACCTTCCTCTTCCCTGGTCAGTCACCAAGCAGGCATTTTTAGATCGTCCACCCTGTACTAACCACTGGGGGACACTGAGGGGAAAAAGGCACAAATCATCTCTTACCATCAAGGAACTCACTACCAGGTGGAGAGACAGGAGGGCAAAAACAGACAATTAGAGTAACTTACAAATTCTGCAATATAAGAATGCATAAGCAAGGCTGCCAACCCGGATTATCAGGGAATAAAGGCAGGATCAGAGAAAGATTCTCAAAGGAAATAGGCTATGAATTGGGTTTTTATATTTAAAAAATTTGAGTTGGGGCACCCAAGTGCCTCAGTCAGTTAAGTGACTGACTCTTGATTTCAGCTCAGGTCATGATCTCACGGTTCGAGGGATCAAGCCCCGCATTGAGCCACACATCAGGCTCCATGCTGACAGTGCAGAGCCTGCTTGGGATTCTCTCTCTTTCCCTCTTTCTCTGCCCCTACCCTGTTCTCCTTCTCTCAAGATAAATGAATTAATTTTAAAAAATGGGAACAAACAAGAAGGAATGGTATTCTATGTTGTGTATAGGCTCACTAACAGGAGCCATTCTCTTCTTATTTTGAGGGGCATGTATCCAGTCCCAAGGGATAAGTTCTGATGGATCTGAACCTAGTCCCCTTTTCTATCTATGTTTTCAGGCTCTCTTGTAAGGCCAGTACATTCTACCTAAGATCCTACCCTGCATATTAAGTGGCGTGACGTGAATCATCTCCTTTTGAATTGAAAAGAGCTCTCAAGCTCTGAAGTTCTAGGTCTTAATATAAAAGATATAGAGTCACATCACTGCAATGAGAGATGAGAACCCAGAAAAGATCTGGCCAGGGAAGACAAAGTAAAAGGAAGTATAACATGCATGAACAACATGGTATAACGAAATGACACAGCTATCTGCAGCCTTTTGGCAGAACACTAACTCTCGTTACAATTTCTGCCACCAAATTTGGGATTAGGGATTTTAGGATGCTTAAAATCAACAGATGGAGAAATAAGACCTGCAAGGAATTGAAAGATCTGTGGTCTATCCTCCCACAGAAGAGACAGAATGAAGCAGGTTTAGTGCAAGTACCAACAGCCTAGGAAAGAAATCTGGTTTCCAGGTCTCGCTTAGTCATTGACTATCTAAGTGACATTGGTAAGATTACGTCGGGCTCTGTGCTGACAGCTCGGAGCCTGGAGCCTGCTTCAGGCTCTGTGTCTCCTCCTCTCTCTGCCCTTCCCCTGCTCATGCTCATGCTCATGCTCATGTTCTGTCTCTCTCTCTCTCTCTCTCTCTCAAAAATAAATAAACATTAAAAATAATTAAAGATAAAATAAAAAGTAAAAATTCAAAGCATCAATAGATTGTCAGTGATCATAGCCCATCTAATTACTACAATTCTAATCATATTTTGGTGATCCTGATATGAAATAGGATGTGGTACAGAGACTTAATTTTACTTAGATCAATTCTTTTTAAGAAAAAAATATTAGCTGGGGCACCTGGGTGGCTCAGTCAGTTAAGCAGCTGACTTCGGCTCAGGTCATGATCTCACGATCTGAGTTTGAGCCCCACGTTGGGCTCTTGTGCTGGCAGCTTGGAGCCTAGAGCCTGCTTTGAATTTTGTGTCTCCCTCTCTCTCTTCCCCTCCCCCTCGTACTCTGTCTCTCTCTCAAAAATAAATAAACATTAAAAAAAAAGATAAAAACATTAGCAATTAGCAAGGGCTAACATGCAGCAACCCTGCAGTAGCAGCAAATCACATTTTAAAATTTAAAGAAGGTATAGACTAGAAAGAACTATAGTATTATTTTTAAGGCCTCTCAAATAGCTAAAAATGCAGACTCACTCCTCAAGAAAGACAGACTATCTTTCTGGTGAAGTCTGGTGATTAAATAATTATCAGAGGGGCGCCTGGGTGGCGCAGTCGGTTAAGCGTCCGACTTCAGCCAGGTCACGATCTCGCGGTCCGTGAGTTTGAGCCCCGTGTCAGGCTCTGGGCTGATGGCTCAGAGCCTGGAGCCTGTTTCCGATTCTGTGTCTCCCTCTCTCTCTGCCCCTCCCCCGTTCATGCTCTGTCTCTCTCTGTCCCAAAAATAAATAAACGTTGAAAAAAAATTAAAAAAAAAATAATAATTATCAGAGAGGTGATGATAATATAATTACATTTATTGAGGGTGTAGTATTGCCAGTGACTATAGTGAGCACTTTGCTTGTATTATCCCCTTAGATAATTCTCACAAGAGCCTTACAAAATAGCACCACTGCCATAGTATTTAATAGATGAAGAAACTGAGAATTAGAGCATGTTAGTAGCTCGCCCAGATTCCCACAACCAGACGGGACGGAGCCAGAAAGGCAACCCATTTCTGTCTGAATCTAAAGCCATTGCATTTTGATTCCACCATGGACACAGGCTAACTTCCCATTTTGTCTTTCTGAGCAGAAGACATTGGGTGTGAAAGAAATCATGTGAATAATATGGGTATGTATATAGAATCATACTTGGAAGTTAAAGGGTCACAGAGTGTTATAGTTATTTAAAAACAGGAACTGAAAGAAAAGGCAAAAATTACCTTCGGATGTCTCAGGAGAAAGTTGACAGCTTCTTCAAAATATTCTAACTCTATTTTTTCTGGGTGTAAAGGCAGATCTTCATAGTCACAGTAGGCCAAGGCCAACGCAGCAAAGCCATGACTGGCCAGGAGACTGGCTCGGTATTCAATCAGCCCACCAATATCAGCAAACAAGTCAATTACCCCTGGGAAACGGCCCTCTCCTGAAAAAGAACAAAACAAAACAGAACTGGATATGAAGGGAAGGGAAGGAAAAAGGAAGAAAAATACGACAACACAAAGAAATGCATCACAAATCATGGAAATGACATATAAATTTTCAATGGAATCCCTAAATTTTCAGGCTCCTATCTGGGACAGAATTAAAGCTGATTGAATACACTAATGGAACACAATATCAGGAAGCTTGATTGGGAAACCTGTTCACTGACATGCTTCATCTCTGTAGCCAAGGACTACTGGGGACTCATAGTGGCTCATTTCTATAGTACTGAGTAAAGAAAGCCATTGAAATTAGGCAAGGGCTTTTTAATCTATGAAGAGGTACACAATTAGGCTTTAGGACACCAGTGAAGGTCCTGAGATTACACGCAAAATATATGTTTATATGTGCATGTTACTAATGAAAGCCTCTATGGATTTAATTGGGTTCTCAAAGTATATATGACTCAAAAAAAAAAAAAAAGGCTTCAAAAGTATATGACTCCAAAAAGTGAATTGAAATGATTATTAGCTATAATCCTGACTTAACACTGTTCTGTTACATTAGTCTGACTACACCCAAGCAGATGTAAATGATGAGGGCTTTCATGCAGTAACACTGTTTATTCACTGCAGCTTAACACATGGCAAAAAGTAGAGGTGCTCAGAGTATCATTCTATACTCACTCTCTGTGTAGGCAACTTGTTTCCTAAATAAAGCAAGGTTCACACACTGAAAAAAAATTTATGATGCACTACTAGGGGCATTCTATTCTTGTGTAAGTGATTTTAGCTATGGAAGACTGGTACCATCTACCTTTGAAAAGAGTGACTTGGGGATGCCTGGCTGGCTCAGTTGATAGAGTGTGCGACTCTTGATCTTGGGGTTGTGAGTTCAAACCCCATGGTGGGTGTAGAGACCACTTAAAAATAAAAAATATTTTAAAAAAAGAAACAAGTGACTTGATTTAAAGGAATATTGGGAATTTTCAAAAGAAAACATTGCTGTGTTTCCTTATGTTGAGAGAAGAAATAAAATGATATTAAATCTATCTTGGCTTTAAAATATACCACTTGTTAGCGTGCCTGGGTGGCTCAAGTTGGTTAAGCGTCCAACTTCGGCTCAGGTCATGATCTCACAGTCCGTGAGTTTGAGCCCCGCGTCGGGCTCTGTGCTGACAGCTCAGAGCCTGGAGCCTGCTTTGGATTCTGTGTCTCCCTTTCTCTCTCTGCCCTTCCCCCCACCCCTCAAAAATAAATAACCATTAAAAAATTTTTTTTGTTAATTAAAAATAGAACTACCTTCAACCCAGCAACTGCACTATTAGGTATTTATCCAAAGGATACAAAAATGTTGATTCGAAGGGGCACATGCACCCAATGTTTATAGCAGCACTATCGACAATAGCCAAAGTATAGGAAAAGCCCAAACGTCCCTCAAATGATGAATGGACAAAGAAGATGTGATATACATATACAATGGAATATTACTTGGCGATAAAAAAGAATGAAATCTTGCCATTTGCAACAATGTGGATGGAACTAGAGTGTATTACGCCACGCACGTGAAATAAATCAGTCAGAAAAAGACATGATTTCACTCAAATGCGGAATTTAAGAAATAAAACACACAAACATAGGGGAAGGGAAGGAAAGACAAAATAAAAACAGAGAGGGAGACAAACCATAAGAGACTCTTAAATACAGAGAACAAACTGAGGGTCGCTGGAGGGGTGTTGGGTGGGGGCATGGACTAAATGGGTAAGGGGCACTAAGGAAGACACTTGTTGGGATGAGTACTGGGTATTATATGCAAGTGATGAATCACTAAATTCTACTCCTAAAACCATTATAAAAAAAGAGTACTGAGCCTCTTATCCTGGAAGAATGTCATAGTTGAGAACCACTTTGAGACCTGACTCATTCTCTTTTGGCCCCCACAGAACAAGGAGGACACGAGCACGTGCGGTGTCCAAGAGGATTCACAAATAGCACCCTCTAAACCAACACATCATCCCAATGTGGGAGGCCTGCACCAATATTAAATTTTTCATTGAAGTGGAATAATAGAGGCACAGACGTTTGTGTCACTCACTGATCCCCACACACAATAATCTTGCCTATATGCTAATTACTGGGTGTAAACATATTGAAATTTGTCCAAACAACTAAATGGGTCATGATGACTTTGGAAAGGGAAGTTTTTATTCCTTCTACGTCGTCTATAACTCTATGCTGTTGGAAACCACTTCTACCACTTCAAGCTTCCTCAATCCATCTCAGTTCTACTAAGTGATTATGTTTTTATTTTTTTAATGTTTATTTTTGAGAGAAAGAGAGAGAGAGAGAGAGAGAGAGCAGGGGAGGGGCAAAGAGAGAGGGAGACAGAGGATCTGAAGGGGGTTCCACGCTGCTCAATGGGGACTCAAATTCATGAACTGTGAGATCACTGAGCCGAAGTGGGATGCTTGACTGACTGGGGCACCCAGGCACTCTGTGATTATGTTTTTAAAAGCAGAGAGAGAGGCATACATCCTGGCAATACGATGGCTATGTCCCAGATCAAATCATGTGTCTGCAGAAGGGGGCCTCAGACACTCCTGAAACCTGGACCTGCCATGAGCAACTTCTGGAAAACTAACTTTGCTTCATTCAGTCCCACAATAAACCCTGATAAATGTACCAGTAGATGTTTTGAACCACTTACTGATATGTGGAGATCACTGTGAGAAACTATGTGTATTCTGGTAAGTTGTATGCCATTAAAAAGCATGTTGTATTTTCTGCAGATTTGTGGAATACTGTATAAATATGAAATATTTATGGAACTAGAGAATATAAAGTTTCTTTGCATCCTCTATATTTGTTGCAGTATTTCACTCCATAATATCATCAGCTTATCGCATGCGATGACCTATGCCTAAACTGAAACTCAGACAGGACAAAACCCCCAAGAGAAGCTGGGATACAGTTCCATGATATCAGGATAGGGGTCTTCAGATAGTCAGGCTTCAATATAGAAGGATTTCACATAAATCCAAAGCTATGGGAAACCCATAATGCAGGGACTTCATAAACTACATGTAGTCATATCCTTAGAAAAGCTCCAGAATTGTTGAGATCAAACTTGAGTCGGAATGGGGCATCACCATATTCTTGTTCTGACCCAGAATTAACCCTGATTCTACGGCTGGCAAGGATTACACTATGTACTATCCTTGTCCAAGTTAAACCTCTAGAAGGACGAGGCATTCAAAAGAGGAAACATGAGGATGACAGTACCAGGTTAATTCTACTCACCAGGAGGGAGAAAGAGGGCTCCCCGAAGGTGGCCTTCTTGAACTTGGATCCGTGTGACACCAGGTGCTCTGTACCACCTCTCCAAAGTCACGCTGACTTTTGGATCAGTGGCAGCAATCTGGGCTAATGGTAAATTTGAATCATAAAGTTTTATCTGGACCAGGAAGGGGCTAGTCATCACATCTCTTTTCATCAATTTAGTTAAAAATTTTTCAGGTTTCAGGGACCAGAAGAGACCCATGGGGTGGACTCCTATATAGTCACCTCCAAGTGAAGGAGCATGATCCAGGTCTACCTCACCAACCTCACTGGCCTTATAGTAGGCTTGAGAATGAAACAGGTTCCCCTTTTCATCTTCCAGTGTTGCCTGAAAAATCACTATCTGAGAGGGACGCAGGCCTGTAGCTCGGATGTGCACTGGCTCATCAGTCAGCGTGCTTGCAGGGGTAGCTGTCAGCTGAATCATTGTTACAATGTGGCACCTTGAAGATTCTTCAAGTAATGCTTTGAGTAAACCCTGGATATATATAAAAAAAAAAAATGGGATAATGAAATAAGACAGTGATAAGGTTAATGAGAGGTGAACTGGAACAGAAATCAGGCTGCTTGGGATTCAGCTCTAACCCTCCAGTTGTTTAGCAAATATACTGATATAATCTTCAAGTATTAGATACCTGACAGCTTTCAACGAATTTATAGAATACATAAAACAAGTAGATAAGTTTTATAATCATTATGAACCAGGGTGGAGGAAGCAGCAGCCAAAATATGCACGAATGGTATCAACATATCCAAGGAAGATATCGCAATCGGCCACCAGAACCCTTGGAAAAATAGATGCAGTGGAGGATAAGAGTGAGATGTGCAGTAGAAAAGGGGGGTTTGTTAAATATCTATATATATATGGAACTGGTGACTTCACTACTAATCCCCTTCCCAAATCCTTCAGACACAATGCCTGGCATCTAAGAATTCATGTCTAATAGAGTATTAAAAAAACAGACAAATCTTCTCAAAAGTATGAAAATAAAATCTTTGGGAAGAGCAAGGAGGCTGACCTATGTATTATTCCCTAAAGAAAAAATATTCCTGGCTTCAGAGTTAGGATTTACCCAGTCCTAAGCAAAACCAGGCACTGACCAGCCCTTCAGACACCCAAAAATTTGCTGGGCTTTTTATAACTTCCATCTTAAAAATTAGGGAATGCCTCTCTCCTTCGGTTAGTGTGAAGAAAGCCACAAAAATGACCATAATTCCCATTCTAATAACCTAAAATTATCTGTATAAAAACAAAATCAATTTAAAAAAAATTTTTAAAGCTCATTAGATTGTCAGGAATCTAAACAAATTAAACTCTAGTGAGTAACAAACTCATCATAGGAGAGAGAAAACTTTCTCTTCTACAGAGTGACTTTTATTTATGACAAAGCAGCAAAAAAGAAATGCCCATCAAAAAAATAAGGAGAAATCAAAAATAAGGAGAAAGTATAATGGATGTGTGTGGGCTGGTTTGATAGATTCGAATCCTGAGAAACTCCAGCCAGAGTCTTTCTCCAAGTGCCAACTCTTTAGGACCTGGCCATGTGCTCTAGGACAATACATCAAAGAATGGGAGCAGAGACACGAGCCAAGAGAAATCTGTCTGCAGGTCTTCGGAAGAAGCAAGGCAGCTAACTTCCAAAAGATAGGGAAGAATAGCAAAATAGAGAGATTTCCCCAGGCTCAGAAAGCCAGGACTGGGACTGCAGAGCAAAGAAATGTCCTTGATGACCCTCCTTCCAGAAGAATTATAAATCAGAGGGAAATATCCTACAGTTAGAAAAGCTAGCAACCTGGCCACAAAAACCAAAGATATCTCCAGAAGTTCAGCAATGGTTAGGCACCAGTTTCTTCTGATGAGAAGAGCCTAATTTCATATCCCAAACTATGTGAAGCCAGGGGTACGCTGAATCAGATAAAGCTGAGACAAAGCCCAGATCCAGCTGGACTACAGGTCAGCCCCTAATTCTACCATTCTGACAGAACAGGGCTTTGCTCTTTTCTTGAGGTAAATATGACTTAGTCTACTCTTTTTTCTTTTTTTTAATGTTTATTTATTTTTGAGAGAAAGACAGAGCGTGAGTGGGGAGGGGCAGAGAGAAAAGGAGACACAGAATCCGAAGCAGGCTCCAGGCTCTGAGCTGTCAGCACACAGCCTAATGCGGGGCTCAAACCCACAAACCGTGAGGTCATGACCTGAGCCAAAGTTGGTCGCTCAACCGACTGAGTCACCCAGGTGCCCCTAGTCTTTTCTTTTATATGAAATATCTGGTGTATAATAAAAAAAAAAATTACAAGGTGCAACAGAAGCAACAAAATCAACCCATATTCATGATGAGAGCAAACAATCAGTAGGAAAGGGCACAGAAATAGATGAGAGTGGATTTATCACGCAGGAACTTTGAACCGACTACAATAGAATGCTATTCAGGAAAAGAAAACAATCGAATTACTGATAAATACAATAACTGGGAGGAATCACAAGAGAATTATGCCACTCCCAAATGATTACATATTGTATGATTCCATTTATATAACATTCTTGAAATGACAAAGTTATTTATTTGTTTGCTTATTTGTTTGTTTTTAGAGAGAGAGCAAGTGGAGGAGAGGGGCAGAGGGAGAGAGAGAAAGAATCATAAGCAGACTCCATGCTCAGCATGGAGCCTGGTGCAGGGCTCGATCCCACAACCCTGCGATCATGACCTGAGCCAAAATCAAGAGTCAGACACTCAACCGACTGAGCCACCCAGGTGCCCTTTGAAACAACAAAGTTAGAGAAATGGAGAACAGATTAGTGGTAGTGGTTGCCAAGGTTCAAGGATTGGGTTGGGAGGAGATGTCTATAAAAGGACACCATGAAGGATCCTTGTGTTCATAAGAATATTCTGTATCCTGATTGTATCAAGGTCAATATCCTTGTGACACTGTACTACAGTTTTGCAAGATTTTACCATTAGGGGAAGCTGGGTAAAGGGTACATGTGTTCTCTCTGTATTATTTCTTACATATGTGGTAAATCTACCATTACCCCAAAATAAAAGCTTAGTTAAAAAAAATAACTGTGATAAAAATGCTAAAGGATCAAGTAGAAAAGGCAGACAAAATATTTGAGAATTTCATCTGGGCATGAAAGTTGTAGAGAAGAACCAAATGGAAAAGCTAGAAATAAAAAATACAAGAATAAAAATGAAGAATTACTAGATAGACTTCATAGAAGACTAGAAAACAACAGCAGAGTAAAGGACCAGACTAAATTGCAACAAAGAAAAAAGGGTATAAAAGAAAAACAGAGCACTTGAGACGTGTGGAACAATATCAGATTCTAATATGTGTGTAATTGGTGCCTCAGAAAGACAGGGGAGAGAAAGGCACAGAAAAAATGTTTTAAAAAATAGTAATGGTGGGGCGCCTGGGTGGCGCAGTCGGTTAAGCTCCGACTTCAGCCAGGTCACGATCTCGCGGTCCGTGAGTTCGAGCCCCGCGTCGGGCTCTGGGCTGATGGCTCAGAGCCTGGAGCCTGTTTCCGATTCTGTGTCTCCCTCTCTCTCTGCCCCTCCCCTGTTCATGCTCTGTCTCTCTCTGTCCCAAAAATAAATAAACGTTGAAAAATAAATAAATAAATAATAGTAATGGAGAGGCACCTATGTGGCTAAGTTGGTTGAGCATCCGACTCTTTTTTTTTTTGGTGCAAAAAGATGATTTTTTTAAAGCACATGGACAGGACCCATGGGCAGAAAGACAGAAAGAGCTGCCCCAGGACCATGAGAAGAGACTGGTTCGAGCAACCGACTCTTGATTTTGGCTCAGACCATGATCTCATGGTTACTGTGTGGGCAAGAGCCCCGCGGTCGGGCTCTGCTCTGACCATGCAGAGCCTGCTTGGGATTCTCACTCTCCCTCTCTCTCTGCCCCTCCTGCCTCCCTCCCTGACCCCTGCACTCTCAAATGAATAAACTTTAAGAAAATAAATATTGACTGAAATTTTCCCAAAATTGTTGAAAAATATCTTGCCACAATTACAAGAAACTCAGCAAACCAGAAGGAGGACAAACACTAAGAACACCACAACTGCAGCATTGCCTATTATCATTAGTTAAACTAATGATAATAAAATATAAAAAGCAAATATTAAAAGCAGCCAGAGAGGGGCGCCTGGGTGGCTCAGTCGGTTAAGCGGCCGACTTTGGCTCAGGTCATGATCTCACGGTCCGTGGGTTCGAGCCCCGCGTCGGGCTCTGTGCTGACAGCTCAGAGCCTGGAGCCTGTTTCAGATTCTGTGTCTCCCCCTCTCTGACCCTCCCCTGTTCATGCTCTGTCTCTCCCTGTCTCAAAAATAAATAAAACGTTAAAAATAATAATAAATAATAAAATAAAAGCAGCCAGAGAAAAATGGAAACCTTACATATAGGAGAATTAACAACATAAATAATGTTTGACTTCCCATCACAAGCAATGGAAGCCAGAAGACAATACATTTTTTAAATGCTTAAAAGAAAACATAAAAACTCCAAAATTCTCTATCTAGCAAAAATACACTTCAAAAATGAAGGCAAAATAAAGACATTTCCAGGAGGTGGGGAAATGGGAGACATTATGTCTGTGGTAGACCGACATTATAAGAAATGCTGAGTTGTTGGAGGGAAATTGGACCAGATGGACAACCAGATCTGTGGAAAAGGATGAAGACCACAAAAATGGTAATTATAGAAGCCCATTTAAAAACATCTTTAATATGTATGCACACATATATATGTGTGTGTGTGTGTATTTAAATGCAAGTAAGAGACTATATAAAATAAAAATAATAACAATGTCTTGTGGGGTTTACAGAATACACTGAAATAAAATATAATGACACAAAGGTGGGAATGGGGTAAATAGAATTAAACTGTTGTAAGATTATTATATATTACCTGCTATTTTTCGAGCAATACAAGATTATTTGCAGGCTGACTGTAATTACTTAAAGGTACTGTTAAGAGCTCAGCTGAGCTCAGGGAGATAGAGAAAGCTGAGTGACTATGTGTCAGAGTAGCTGATTAAACCAACAAGCCAAAAACAAGAGTGAAGCCTTTAATCACTTACTGTGATGGGAGAAAATGCCTGGGCAAGACGAGGCTCGATGGTCTGAAGTTGGTGGCTCAGCCAGAAGTGGGGGTGGGTTGTTGAGGGAGCTCCAAAGGATCCAGCAGTTCTGAGGTCAGGAGAGAGTGAGGGGAAGGGCTAGAAGTAGAAAAGAGCTAGGCGCTGAATCACAGTGAAAAGAAATGTCTTCAAGTATCCCTCCTCCTTGCATATAGAGACCTCAGCAGACACACCTTGACAAGAATTTGGACCCTGAACAGGCCTGATATAAAGAGATCTACAATGGGCAGGGAAGGCAAATACGAGAAGAACATGATGGGCCTGAGTGACTAATGACTATGGAGACCAGTAACTGCTGAGTGGCTTAAGTCCTTGACTCCAACTTTTTCAAGAGGCTGCCATGCACTGACTGTACCCCAAAACTGGTGCTGGAAGGGGAGCTTTCTCCCATGATGCCTGCCAGCTAAAGCCTTTGTAATTGCCTATGGTCAGTTCTGGAAAATCATACATAGGTTTTTAACTAGGAGCTAGACTCCTCAGGTACATATTCTATAGAGTCTCTCTCTCTCTCTCTCTCTCTCTCTCTCACACACACACACACACACACACACACACACACACACACATTTAAATAACCCCAAAAGAAACAGATGTTATATTTACTATGGCTGTGTAGTAAATCCCAAAATTTAAAGGCATACGATAGTGATTATGCTCATATATTCTGTGGGTTGGGAATCAGGACAGGGTTCAGTGCGATCAGTCATCAGTTGCAAAGACAACTTTTCAGAGACTGCTAAACCAACCTCCACAACTGTGTAAGTTTAAATCCTTAAGAGTTACAGATCAGCGGGATTGAGGAGGCTAAAGGAAAGATTATTTATCGTCAGTTGATATCTCAAGCAAGCCAAGTTCTGAAATCGCTGTTGGCTATACCATGTAAATCCTTGTGCAATTCTAGAGAGAGGAGGCCAGTAACATGTGACAGCAGAACCTGGTAAGAGCAGGGTTGAAGAATAAATATGATAGCTTAATTATTCGAGAATAAGAAGAGAAACAGGGTGGTGGTTAAAGGAAGGGTCAAGTAGTTTGTCCTATCTTGGGTTGCTCGAGAAGTAAGAACTCAAAACAAGTAGTGTATTTTGAGGGGGTTCCAGGAAACAGGAATGCAGAGGGGCAATGGGAAGTATCCAATAGATGGTTAGCGAAGGGCTGAGTGGTAAGGGAGGAAAAAGCCTTAGTTTCCCACCACTTCCAGCCTGCCATGCTGAGAGGTAAAGCTGACTCTGGAGGCCCAATAAAACTATCGGGCAGAGGAATCCAAGGTCTGATGTTGTGAGTCAGGCCTGTGCACTAATGCCACTAGGGGAAGTATACACAGGCAAGGTATTGACAGTATCTGCTAACACGACAGTCTGGGTTGTTTTTTTTTTGTTGTTTTGTTTTTTGTTTCATTTATTTTGAGACAGTGTGGGTGTGTGTGTGATCTTCAGATGGGGCAGAGAGAGAGGAAGAGACAGAATTCCACGCAGGCTCCGCAATGTCAGTGCAGAGCCTGACACGGGGCTCGAACCCACGAACCGTGAGATCATGACCTGAGCTGAAATCAAGAGTCAGACGCTTAACCAACTGAACCACCCAGGTGCCCCAGGATGAGTTTCTTTTAACGTCAGCCCCACATCAGGCTCTGTGCTGGGCATGGAGCCTGCTTGGGATTCTCTCTCTCTCTCTCTCTCTCTCTCTCTCTCTCTCTCTCTGCTCCTCCTCCCCTTCATATGTGCTCTATCATTCTCTCTCTCAAAATAAATAAACTTAAAAATACAAGAAAAGAAAATCATCCTTCAAACAATATAAAAATGGGACCACAATTCAAAAGCCCAAACTAAGACAGTTTCTTCTATACTATTCTAGGAAGTCATCTTTAAAAAGAGGGAGAAATATTAATGGAGATATGGGGGAAGACTGAATAAAGAAAAGTTAATTTCAGAGAGCCTGTCATTCTCCCTCAGAAATATAAATTCTGGCTTGATATCTTCATAATCACAAGTTCCTTTCTAAACAAAATCCAACAGATAAGACACACCCTTATCTGAGCATTCTTTGAACTCCAAAGCTGAGATTACAAAATGAATAAAAAGACTATTTGTCCACACGAACTGCCAAATTCCAAACACTGAAAGTAAGAATCTAATTTTATGACTCACTCAAGACCTGAGACTTTAACCCATCTCCAACTAGCCCAGAAGAGAGAGCCCTGATTACAAACCAAAGTACCTGACTTTTTCCTCTTGAGCCTCCCTTTCCATCCCTAAAGGAAGAATGGCACTCCCTAGAGTTCTTATTAATCAAAACCCCAAATACATCTTTGCAATCTGACCAAACTAATACAAGAGAAGCACCGGCTTATGGCCCACTGTTTGCTCTAGTTTCCTATTAACTTTTAAAATGTATTGAACCCAGTCCCCTCCTATTTTCCCCTTTTTCATTCTCTATGCTTTCTAAACCTCTCCCTCTTAGGAATAGCACCTACATTTTACTCACATATTTTATTAATTTTTGTCATAAACAAATTGCTTGACCTTCATTGGCACCGTTTGGCCATACCTTTGCTCTATAAATAAAGAAGTCAAGGACTTTGACTTACTACCAAAGAGTTCTGAACTGAGAATTGCAAATGTGGCCACAGTAACAGGCAACAAAATACTTGCTCTTGAGCCCACAATTTCTGCTTTGGGAATGTGGGCAACACCAAATCTCCCAGTCATTACCTCCCCCTCCTGAACTAATTCATAGGAGCTCTTGAGAGCCTACTTAATGCTATAGAATGGAGCATTAGTGTGTGGGAAATAAGGTTAGGAATTCCCTGAGTTTCCACCATGGGTTAACAAGGCATAAAGAATTAGAAAGCCACAGGATAAACACACTCAAGTTTGGGTAAACAAGATTAGGTAAACAGGGCAAAGTCTCCCAGTATAGGACAAAGGTATAGGAATAGGAAATCTCAGGATGGAAGCATCCAAAATGAGGTAAACAAGATTAGGTATTCAGGGCAGAAATGCCCCCCAACTTAGTACAATAGCAGAAAGCTGCTTTCATAGGAAGGAAGGACAAAAAAAAAAAAAAAAAAAAAGGAAAACAGGACTTTAGACAGGGCAGGGCAAAGTTGCCCAGAGTGGAGCCAATTAGCAAAAGAAAGGTGTTTTTTTGACCCTGAGGTAGCCTGCTCTGTCTTTCTTTACCTAGGCCAGTTTAGGTAAACAGAGGTGGTGCCTCTTATCTTTACCTAGGCCAGTTTAGGTAAACAGAGGTGGTGCCTCATGTCTGCTGTAAAAAACCTTCCACCCAGCTCCAGGATTTTGTTTTGTATTGACCCAAACTGCTAACACTGCATATCTTCAAAACCCCCTTTTCCCCATGCCCATGAGTTAACGTTCATGGTTTCACTGTCTCTTTGTGCACATCCATCATGCTTGTAAGCCTTCTGATCCTAATAAAGATGGAGCAAGGACCTTACTCAGGGCTCGTCTCCTCTCGGACATTAGCCTCTCTTGCATTTCAATTCTGCAGACGCTCTCTTGCTGGACAAGAGAGAACTCCAGACCCAGGGTCTACGACATAGTGGGATTTTACATGATAAGAAAATAAAAGCACTATTAAATCATTGAGCCCTTATTTATTTGAGGTGACAGACAGAGCACTTTAAAAGTATGAGTTTAAGGGCACCTGGGTGGCTCAGCCAGTTAAGCATCCTACTCTTGGTTTTGGCTCAGGTCATGATCTCACAATTCATGGGTTCGAGCCTGCTGTCGGGCTCTGGGTTCTGTGCTGCCAGTGTGGAGTCTGCTTTGGATCTTCTGTCTTCCTTTCTCTCTGCCTCTCCCCCACTCACTCTCTATCTCTCTCTCACAAAAATAAATAAATAAACGTTAAAAAAAAATAAAAGTATGAACTTAAAGAAACTATTAGTAAATTTATCTTCCTTAATTGTAAGGACTTCTGATCAGCCAAAAACTCCATGAAACACTTGAAAACACAGGCTGCTAACTTGCAGTAGACTTATATTACACATAAAATTGATTAAAAATTATTAAGCAGTGGGGGCACCTGGGCGGCTCAGTCAGTTAAGCATCAGACTTCAGCTCAGGTCATGATCTCATGGTTTGTGGGTTCGAGCCCCTTGTCGGGCTCTGTGCTGACCGCTCGGGGCCTGGAATCTGCTTTGGACTCTGTGTCTCCCTCTCTCTCTGCCACTCTCACATTCTGTCTCTCTTTCTCTCCCTCAAAAATAAATAAACATTTTTTAAAAATTAAATAAATTAAAGCAATAAAAACAAGACTCATAACTATATTCAAAAACCTAGGTGAACATCACAAACATAATATTGAGTGTTAGATGCCAATCATAAATGAATATACACAGATTAATCATAAATTTATGTATGCTAAAAAATTATATAACATACTTTTAGAGTAAATTTTTAAACAAAAGCAAGGAAGAGATTACCAAAAGAGTCAGGATTGTGGTGAAAAATTATCAGTGTAGTTCACATTGATAAACTGCAAGTAAATGGATGAAAAATAATATACCATGCAACAGTAAGCATAAGAAACCCAAAGTGGCTATATTAATGTCAGATTAAGTAGATTTCAATATCAAGAGTATTATCAGAGATGAATAATAATGGGACACTGGGTGGCTCAGTTGGTTAAGCATCAGACTCTTGATTGTGGCTCAGGTCATGATCTCACCATTCGTGGGATTGAGCCCTGTGTCAGGCTCTGTACTAGCGGCCTGGAGCCTGCTTGGGATTCTCTTTCTTTCTCTCTCAAAATAAATAAACATTTTTTTTTTTTTTAAAGAAAAAAATAATAGGGGCGCCTGGGTGGCTCAGTCGGTTGAGCATCTGACTTCAGCTCAGGTCACGATCTCACAGTCCATGAGTTCGAGCCCCGCGTCGGGCTCTGGGCTGATGGCTCAGAGCCTGGAGCCTGCTTCCGATTCTGTGTCTCCCTCTCTCCCTGCCCCTTCCCCGTTCATGCTCTGTCTCTCTCTGTCTCAAAAATAAATAAATGTTAAAAAAATTTTTTTTTAAATAAAAAATAAAAAGTAGTAATAATGACAAGTTTGGGGCACCTGGGTGACTCAGTCAGTTGAGTGTCCTCTTGGCTTCGGCTCCGGTCATGATACCATAGTTCATGAGACTGAGCCCTGCATCAGTCTCCCTGCTGTCAGAACCTGCTCGGATTCTCTTCTTCCTCTCTCTCTGCCCCTCCCTGCTGGCATGTGCATTCTCTCTCACTCTTTCTCCCGCAAAATAAATAAGCTTAAAAAAATAAATAATGGCAAATTCATAAAAATCATAAATCCTAATAAAGGATTTCAAAATATATGAGGCAAAATTTGAGACAGAATTAAAGCGAGAAATAAACAATTCCATATTGATGGTTAAAAATTTTAACATTCCTTTCTCAGCAATTGATAGAATAACTTGGCAAAAATCAGTTAAGGCATAAATTTAAACTATGCTATCAATGACCTTGACCTAATTGCTATTTATAGAACACTAAGCCCACATGATATATTTAACAAGATAAACCATACACTGCACCATAAAATTAATCTTAACAAATTCAAAAATGCTGAAATCAGAGAGTACTTTTTTAGACCACAATGGAATTAAATTAGAAAGTAATAAAATAATCCAGAATATGTTATTCCTTATTTGTTCCCAAATATTTGAAAATCAAACACACTTCTAATTATCCACAGGTCAAGGAAGAAGTCAGAAATTAGAAAATATTTTAAACTGAATGATAATGGAAGTACAAAATGAAAATATTTGTAGGATGAAGCTAAAGCTACAAAGTGAAATTTATCATCTTAGTGACTTATACTGGAAAAGAAGTTCTAAAAGCAACGACCCAAGTCTACCTCAAAATCTAGGAAAAAAGAGGAAAGTAAACCCAAAGTAAATATAAGAAAGGAAATAAGAAAAGCATATTATCAATGAAATGGAAAATAAACAACAGAAAGAAATTAACAAAGACAAATTTAGTTCTTTGAGAAGACAGACAAAATTGATAAACTACAAGCCCGACTGGTCAAATAAAAAGAATAAAATAACAAATATCAAAGTGAAAGAGGGCTTATCACTGCAGATCCAATAGACATTAAAAGGAAAATAAAAGAATATTATAAAAACTTTATGCCAACTACTTTGACAACTTAGAAATCATTCAAGTAAAAACTTGAGAACTTTTGCACTGTGAAATAAACTAATAAAAATGATATAGAAAAGTAACTGCAGATAAGATAAAGCTCATGTGTGCAGGTATGACTGAGTTCAAGGTACTTGTCACTTTATACTTTAAGATACACAAGAACACACTTTAATGGATTACAAATGAAGAAGTAGGACAGGAGGGCCTGGCTGGCTTAGTCAGTAGAGTGTGACTTTTGATCTTGGGGTTAAGTTCAAGCTCCATGTTAGGTGTAGAGCTTACATGAAAAAAAATATTGCCAAAAGGATGACTTGCGATTAATAAATATTTATTAAAACACACACACACACACACACACACACACACGGAAGCAGGACCAAGTTGCCCATTCCTAGGTTCAGAGTCAAGAAATTTACAGTGGAATGATTTCCACTTCTGAGTAAAAGGGAGTTTTATGGCAGACCAATACTCAACTATAAAAAAGCCAGATTAAAACAAATAGATAAGAATAAAAGCAAAAAACTGGCAATAATTTAATTATCCAGTAATAGAATATTGGTTGAATAATTCCAGTAGTCCTCCCACCCCTACCCCTTAGCTACAGTTTCACCTTCCACAGTTTGAGTTACCTGCAGTCATTCCCAGTCTCCAAGTAGATAAGCCTCCTTCTGACATAAATCAAGTCAATAGTAGCCTAATGCTACATTACAACACCTAGATCATTCACCTCACTTCATCTCATCACATTGGCATTTTATCATCTCACATCATCACAAGAAGGGTGAGTACAATAAGATACCTTCAGAGACCACCTTCACATAACATTTATTACAACATATTGTTATAATTGTTCTATTTTATTATTAGTCATTGTTAATCTCTTACTGTGCCTAATTATAAATTAAGCTATCATAGGTCTGTATGCATAGGAAAAAACATAGTATATATAGGGTTCAGTACTATACAGGGTTTCAGGCATCCACTGGATGCCTTGAAATGCATCTCCCCAAGGTTAAGAAGGGACTACTGTACTTAACATCCAGTTATGGCATAATGCATTATTAATCAAATTTATTAAGGACTTTTAAAATGTAGAAACACTCATAGAGTGAAGGGAGCAGGGGGACAATGTCACAGTAAATTTTAAAATACAGGAGAGGGGCGCCTGGGTGGCTCAGTCGGTTGAGCGCCGACTTCAGCTCAGGTCACGATCTCACGGTTTGTGAGTTCGAGCCCCGCGTCAGGCTCTGGGCTGATGGCTCAGAGCCTGGAGCCTGCTTCTGATTCTGTGTCTCCCTCTCTCTCTGCCCCTCCCCCATTCATGCTCTGTCTCTCTCCATCTCAAAAATAAATAAACATTGGGGCACCTGGGTGGCTCAGTCGGTTAAGCATCTGACTTCAGCTCAGGTCACGATCTCATGGTCCGTGAGTTTGAGCCCCGTGTCGGGCTCTGTGCTGACAGCTCAGAGCCTGGAGCCTGCTTCGGATTCTGTGTCTCCCTCTCTCTCTCTGCTCCTCCCCCGTTCATGCTCTGTCTCTCTCTGTCTCAAAAGATAAATTAAAAAAAAAAATTTTTTTTAAATAAATAAATAAATAAACATTTTAAAAAAATACAGGAGAAAAGTTTATTTTCATTTAAAAATGTACTAGTATATTAAGTGATTATCTGAGCAGTAAGATGGAAATGGTATTTTTTGTCTTTCCCAAATTTTTAAAAAAAGTGCTTTTATAATCACAAAAATGACATTAAAATTAAAAAGGAGAGGGAGAAGTCTACTTATGTGGCTTAAAATACATAGTGTTTGTACAAGACTATTTCTATTAACCCTGAATATTTTATCATCAGGGTTTTTGTAAGTATATTTATGGAGTTCAAAGATCCAACTAAGTAAAATTAATAGACTTCTTGTATACAGCAATCACTTAATTTTTACAAATGTAACCTTTTAGAATTATATCAAGTTTGGTTACTTAAGTGAATAAGTTACCAAACCTAACTTAATGTTCAGGAAAACCAAAGGTCATTATTCTGGTATGTTTATTGTGTTAGACTGTAGAACAGTGACGCCCTCTAGAGTTATTGATGGATGTGCAGTTTATCTTTTCTGGTAGCTCAACTTTCCAGGATTGCTGCTTCAGGGTTGGAACTTTCCCACTTCAATACTAGGGTCTAGGGCCATGTTACTCAAAACATTATCACCATTGCCTAGGAGGTTTTTAGATACACAGAAGCTCAGGACCCACTTTTGACTTATGGGATGAGAATCTGCATTTTAAAAAGACCACCAAATGACTTGTATGCACATTGGATTTTGAGAAACACAGCTCCAGTCTACAAGGAAGTAATTTCTTCTGCCTTTACATTCATGAGAAGCCTGGTTTTACAGTTCTCCAGCTGAAACCAATTGTTTTTTCAAACCGCCTTTATCATCTATTACTTCCATCATGCCCTTTATACATTTTCCTGTCTCCAGATCAGAAATAAAAGTTGTGTGGGAAATGAAATGATCAAATCCTGTATGTAAAATTCAAATATTTCCATACTGAAACCCTCTCACATAGAAGGTATATAATAGCTCTGATATTTAAGCTCCAGACACTCTGATACTCCAGACTTCTGAAAAGCTCTTTAATGTACAGGTTATTAAAAACCTGATCATCTGCTGATGTTTATTGGGCATGACTGTAATGTAACTGATTTTTCTAATATGCCAGAATTTATACACCCACATGATTTTTGCCCTCTTCAAAGTAGTCATCCTGGGAAAGAAAATAAATGCACTTTCCTTTGTTTAAAACCTGTCACTTTTCTTTCAGAACTGTAAGTAGTCAAGGTAAAATATAAGAAATTCCTTCTCCCTCTTATTACTCTCTAGCCATTATCTAAAGTCTAAACAACAATAATCCCTAATTTAATCACTTCCTCATCTAACATCTGTAATTCAGAACTGTCTGGTAACTTGCTATTTGAGTTATTTCCACAAATTGAGTACACCAAAGTCTGCAAAGACTTACCGCCCTAGTGGATACCCATAGGTATTCAAAGCTGCTTTTAAAAAGTTACAGAAAAGGGGTGCCTGGGTGGCTCAGTAAGTTAACCAACTGACTTTGGCTCAGGTCACGGTCTAACGGTTCGGGGGTTCGAGGCCTGCATTGGGCTCTGTGCTGGCAGCTCAGAGTCTAGAGCCTGCTTTGGATTCTGTGTCTTCCTCTCTCTCTCTCTGCCCCTTGCAGACAGCTTGCGTGCTCTCTCTCTCTCAAATATAAATTAAAAAAAATAAAAAGTTACAGAAAAGATAAAGGGTTTGAAATAAACATCATCTCCTTTGAAGAGCATATTCATTTAGATACAGAAGCTGGTATATCTTTTTTAAGAAAAATCACAGCACTTCATAGCTGGCATATATATTCTTTCGTTTATAATACTTAAATTAAGGAAATGATAAGGCAAAAAAGCAAATTTTACTTTTTTTTTTAGTAGGCTTCACACTCAGCATGGAGCCCAAAGTGGGGCTTGAACTCACAACCCTGAGATCAAGACCTGAGCTGAGATCAAGAGTCGGACGCTTAATCGACTGAGACATTCAGGCAACCCACAAATTTCACCTTTAAAAAATTTAAAAATACACAACACTCTTCAAGAAATTTACTTTAATTCCAAAAGAGATTAATCTAGAATGAACAGTATCATTTTCTACTATTTTTACTCTTGTAGTAAAGCAATGAAAGAAACAACTTGCTGTAATATACAACAGAGATTTTTACATTTCTTTTATACATATCTACGTTTCCTCATTTGTATATGTACTATACATAATTAATACCACCTTAGGTTTAAGAGTCCTAACAGGATTAAAACCTGTTTTTGCATCTACTAATTTATGCGTAAAAAATAAAGACCATGTGTGAACATATAATAGCCTTGTATCTTAAACCCAAGTTTAATTACAGTGTCCTCCAAAGAAGGAAATTTTCATACATGATTAAAGACTTGATTCCATTAAAAAAACAAAGTTCCAGCAAACGTGAAAAAAGAAAATCTTGTTAATTCATGATGAGAAAAAGAGATAATTCATCCTTCCACAGAAAAAAGTGGGTTTAGAGAACAGTTCTGATAGCATTTCACATGGTAACGTATCAAAAGTCTAATTAATAACCAGCCCCCTTGCTCAGGACAAAATGATCTTAATGAGCTCCTCTTCTGCTTAGTAACCCCAAGTGATTTTTACATTGGGAGGCAGATTACTAGCAGTAAGTTCATCAAATTTAGATTGATCCCTAATAGGCACATTATAGAAATCAAGAACATCTCTGACCCTGCACATCTGGTGAAGCCTGGAGTTGGGCACTGCATGGCCCAAGTCATCAGCTAAACGTGCCAAGAAACTGAACTTCAGAAGGTCATCTTCCAGGGACACATCCTGCCAACTATTACCAACAGAGGAACCAAAAATTTCTTTGACACAAGATTCCAAACGACTCTGGAGATCTTCAGGTGGTATGTATGTTCGGCTTCGTAAGGGTGGACACACCAAAACAGGCTCTTTCTTCACTTCTTCTACGGTCTCAGCCACCACTAGCTTTTTCTCTTTTCTAGAATGGTCAAAAACAAGTATGTGAATCTCTAGTTAACTGCACTAATGCAGCTGACAAACTGACAAACACCAGACCTAATCTTACCCATCTATCTAAATCAATAATTTGCACACTTACTACTCTTCTGGGCACTGGAGAGAGAAGAATAAGATAGGTGCCTGCCTTTGGAAGCTTATAGTTGAACTGAGCTGATACAGACAGAAAAGAAAAGCTACTTACAGATTTCACATGCTGTAAGAATTCCTAAGAACACGTAAAGAGGTAAATTGCCTGTCTGGGATTCCCAGTTTCCAAACCCAACCAACCGCTCTAACCTCATGTCCTACAAATCTACTAGAAACACTCCATGCCCTACCCACACTAAACTACTACATTCTGTTTCCCACTTTCCTGAGGTCATGTGTTACCTCAAGTTACATCCTACAGGAGATGCCAATTTCATCTTTGCCTATTGAAATCTTACTTTAAGTCCTAGAACAGAACTGTTATCTTCCAAGGAGTTTTACTTGATTTCTCCAAATATAAATTCCTCTGATCTAGTATAGCGCTTTATATTGCTTTCACAGCACACTTCATCGTACCAGAGTTTTATTTATTTACATTCTATTTCTCTTACTAGATCATGGTTTCTCAGCCCAAACACTTGACATTTTGGACCAGATAATTCTTTGTTGTACGAGGCTATCCTGTAATTGCAAGATGCTCAGCAGCATCCCTGGCCTCTACCCAGGGCAGGGTAAATGCGAGGAGCACTCCTATGCTCCAGTCATAACCAAAGGACATTGCCAAACGCCCCAATAGGCAAAATTATCTCTGGTTAAGAACCACTGTACCAGATTATAAACTCCTGAATACAGAAACCTGTTTTATTGATTTGGGGTCCTTTGAAAACTGCTTGAATAACTACTACTGAGTACATGGGCCAAAGTGAGGAAATCTGCCTAAGACACTATTTCAGTGCTTAGTGAAATATTATTCACTCTTGTTTTCCATGGAGCTGGTATCTGACTGGGACTGGTCATCACTACAAAAATTGGGAGGCATCAGAAATGAATGATGGAGGGGGGGAGGAAGGACGAAGTACGGAAGGAAGGAAGGGGAGGGAGGGAGGGGGAGAGGGAGGAAGGAAGGAAGAGAAAAGAAAAGAAAAGAAAAGAAAAGAAAAGAAAAGAAAAGAAAAGAAAAGAAAAGAAGAGAAAAGAAAAGAGGGACGCCTGGGTGGCTCAGTCGGTTGAGCGTCCGACTTCGGCTCAGGTCATGATCTCGCAGTTTGTGGGTTTGAGCCCCGTGTTGGGGAAAAGCAGTAGATGGAGAGTCAAAGACTGGTTCCAGCTGTGCCATTAACTTGCTTTCAGCAAAATAACTTCCTATGGGGCCACTGTTTCCCCATATGCCAGAGCGCTTAAGCTCTGAGAAGGGACTTTGCTTCCACTGCTGTAACCTACTTAGGGAAATGCTGGGCCAGAGAGGGCGTTTAATAACTATCTGTTAATGAATCAATGAATGGACAAACGAAAAAAACGAGGAGGCCACGCTTCATTTCTGAATCTAGCTTGTGAAGAAATACCCCGCGCAAATGCACTTAGTTTACCGAGCACTTTCACGTTCATGTTCCATGTTACTCGTTCCAAACGAACCACTTGTATCCTGATACCAGTCGGTGCCTGGAACACATGGTCAGTACTGTCTGCTTACTACACTAACGAGTTAAGTGGAAGGGAAAGAGGGCGGCATTTCCGTTATAAGATGAGAAAACTGAGGCCAAGACTGGGCCCCACCACTCAAGGACACCCGCGCTGAAGCCTCTGAACTCAGAACCTAACGTACTTTCTCGTCCTATCCCAAGTCAGGCGCAGGGCCAGGGTACCGTCCTAATAGCAGGACTCTCACTTTTGAATTCGTCCTTTCATCCTCCTCAGTTTCTCTCACTTTCGCTGAACGAGACCCACCATCTAACCTTCCGCTTTACCTGAATCGAGACCAAAATTCTCTGCGTGGTGCCCCTAAGACTATCCACGTCAGGCCTCTTCTGGTAACGCCAGACACTGACAGCGCCGCCATCTCGGAGGAGAGCTACCGGCTGGGGCTCTGCTCCCAGCCGGCAGTGACGCGCCAAGACCAGCCAATCAAGTGTAAGCTTAGTGATAGGTGTTCCCTTTTTCCTGTTAAGCCTCCCCAGAGGCTCCCTCCCGCTTTGCACGCCGGAAAATGTAGTCCGATGGGTCTTGCCGGCGGAGGCTGGACCGAGGCGCGCTCTCAGAGCACGACGGGAGTTGTAGTTGGGGGGCGTCCCGGGAAGGTTCCGGGTGACGCCTTCTGGTCCGGGGGCGGACGGTCATAGCGCTCCTTGGCTGAAAGGAGGAGGAACTGGCAACTGGGAGGAGGCTCTAGTGAGGCCTGGAAGGCTGCGCAGCTAGGTGGGGAAGGAATTTGGCGTTGGGGGACAACCAAGTAGTGGGTCTGATATGCTGCTGGGGTCGTGACCGCTCTGGGACCGAGGCAGGACCTGGCCAGACCCAGCCTGGAGGCCTCGCCTTCGTGGGGCCTAATTTCCAACGGCCGGGTAGGCCTCACGAGAAGCTCCTTTCCTTGCGGCTTTCCCGGGTTCCCGTCCTAATTTTCTGTCCTGGAGATGGCCTCCCCGAGCCCCCCGCCGGAGCCAAAGGTAAGTCGCTCCTCTGGGTATCCCTGTTCTCTGGCCACTACTGGAGCTAGGCCGCGCTACCCCCCCCGCCCCCCCCGCCCCCATCCCCACGACCGTGGTCTTTAAGGCCAGCGCTGTGCAAGGAAGTACTTCGTAGTGGTCCGGATTGCGCCTCGCGACCAAATCGCCCACTTGGCCCTTCGTTTCAAGAGCGACTTGATAAATTAGCTGAAGAAAATTAGTAATGCTGCAAACAAGCGCTCTCATTTGTGAGTTCTTCCAGATGAGGCACCATTTTTGACTCTTCCCTGTGTCTTGTGCGCCTGTCACGAAGCTAGGACCCCAGGTAGACGCTTAGAGAACTTCCTGCAATTGAATTGAACAGGGTCTCAAGCCACTGCTAATAGAGTTGGATGGAGCCGGGCAATGAGGTGCAGGAAACTTGGGGAGGCCTTGGGGCAACTTACTAAAATAAAAATGTTAGGGTATAATTATTCAGCCAGAAAAGCTCTATCCTTAGGGTATAATTATTCAGCCAGAAAAGCTCTATCCTTAGGACCATCACTACTGACGACCAGGATCCAGTTCAGTTGCCCTCTAGTTGGAGATGCTTATCTGATACAGAATTGGGCCCAATTTGGATCTCTGGGTAATCATGTTCCTCCTAGCCTACCCGGCTCTGATAAGTGATTGCTTCGGCTACTTTCAGTGGTAGAATTGTCCTTGAGACAACAAGAACTGACTACAGAAATCGTACTATTTCAGGGGTTGCTGACATTTGAGGATGTGGCTGTGTTTTTTACCCAGGAGGAGTGGGATTATCTGGATCCAGCTCAGAGAAGCCTGTATAAAGATGTCATGATGGAGAATTATGGAAACCTGGTCTCACTGGGTAAGAATCTTTTGTTTCTCTGATCAAAATATCTAAGAAGCTATAAGAAATCAGACCCTGAGAACACTTGAACCACCACAAGTACCAAAACTGCTTTGTTCCAAAGTTCAGATTCAAACATTTTGGCCATTAATTGTTTCCATGACTCTCGTCTGTAGTGTCCTTGCAAAAACCAAAATACAAGCCTTTCTGGCTTCTTATCTTCATAATCTCATTCCCATACTGCTCTGCACTTTCCCTCCTGGCTCATCCTCCCACTGCTTTCCTCCCACCCCTTTTCACTCTGCCTTCTGGAGCCCCTGTTCTTCTTCACATAATGTTCCTTACCCTTCCTGGCCTTAACTGAAAACTGGCACTTTCCCAAGGACACCACTTCTCTGGCAGAGGCTGCTTACTCTCCCACATCCTCCTTTTTCCCTATCCTTTGTCTCAAGGCTGGAAGGGAGAAGTTACTATTCTCCTGGCTTTTCAGTGTTGTTCTCAAAGCGTTAGTTTTAACCCTTCAAACAAAATCTCCCTTTGGAGGCTTCAGCAGTCTTGCTCTACCCACCCAGTTCTCTTCTGCTGTCATCTGCCAACATTGTTTGGTCTGTCACACGTAGATTTTGTCACATTTCAGAATCTCTCTATGCTAACCTATGCCATCAATGATGCAGCCATTATTTAAGCCTTGCTATATCCTGACCACGTTGTCTTCAGGAACCTTGCTTTCCTTTTTTGTTCAGCAAATCCCATCAGTGATCAAACCCTCAATTTTGTCAAGGCAGGCAAATCTTAAACCCCAGTATCTTAGTCTTTGAAAATTCTTCAGCCATTGTTTTTATCTTAGACCATAACTAAACAGGGGTGACTAAAACAGACATGATCTCTGCCCATGTAGAGCTTACTACAATTTCTTACGCTTCTACATCTCCTACTCGTTTCCTCCCAAACCAGCTTATTCCCAGTCATGCTACTTGTTCCTTGATTTCTCCTTTTGCCTCCCAGATTATCAGTCCTCTTCTAACTTCACCTCTTCATCTGTTCCATGGACCTACATATGAATTATCACCAGCATGCTCTCTTGCCACCTTGTCATTGTGCTCTACCCATTCTGCAAACTTCATATTCTGTATTGGTTATAAAATCAGCTTTTTCTCCTGAGTTGCCAAGCACAGCAGGGGAAATTGTTTAACTGAAAGGATTAATGCCCTGGATATATGCATGGCTTTTCTAATAGTCTCCAGTGGGTTTTCACATCTCAGCCAATTTTTTATCATTGATTTGCTCATTCTCTTCTTCCCTTTAGTGACTATTCCAAAAACTTAAAAAAGTTTTCCTTGGGTCCATCACTCAGTAGTAGACCTCACTTTCTGTTTCACAGAGAAGATAGAGGCCACTGAATATGAACTCTAACTTTCTGCCCCTCGTGTGTATGCTTAAGTCTGCTCCTTTTTCCTCACTTTTCCAAGAACCTATCCGTCATCTTTTTTTTTTTTCCCCCTTACAACTTCAGTCTCTATTCCTTCTCCTCTGGTACCTTTATTTTGGTGATGGGTATGTTTACGACTCTTCCAGTTGGGGAAGGTAGGGCCGGGGGGGGTGGCTGTCCTTTGAGAGAGCCTGTAACCTGCTCCTTGTTCACTTACAGCCAAGTTTTTGTAAGAGTAGTTAATGTATATTCTTTACTTTCCCTACCATTATCTCTAAGCCCCTTCTCTTGCCTCTACCCTTCCCCTTAAATTGTTTAACATTCTACTTTAATAGGCTAATTGTCAAATGGAATAGACACTTGGACCTTATTTTATTTCACCTCTCTTTATGTATTTGAAGCTCTTTATTGCTTACTTGTATTGCCTTCCTCTCCATCTATGTGCTTTCTTTGGTGAACCTTATCTATAGTCAGGTCATCACCTACCACTGTGATGAGTCCCAAATCTTTATCTCTACCTAAGAGAAGCAATTGAAGCCTAACTGCCTAAGCAAAAGTCCTGGTTCCACCACTTAGAAGCCTTGTGACCGTGGGTGAATTATATAACCTTTCCATGCCTGTTGCTTTTTTACCCAATGGCAGTAATAATAGCACTTACTTCTTAGAGTTACTGTGAGTACTGAGTTAATATGTGTAAAGCACTTAGGACACTGGTTAGCATGTACTAAGTATAATATAAATGTTGATTGCTATGGTCATCATACCTATTATCTTCTCTAAGAGCTCCAAAATCTTCATCATCTCCTTTTGAAGACCACATAAATAACTCACACCTGGCCAGTGTCAAATAATCCATTAAGATCTCAAGGCCCTTCTCTTCAGAATTAAGTACTCCTTTCTCTGTGCTGCCCTGTATTGCACTGTGCTGCACTTCTGTTGAATTTCTCAACTGTATGCACAGTTTACAATCAATTTATCAAATGACTGTACTCTAGTCATTCTTTATGTTATTTCTCTAACCAGACTGGTCTCCATGAGGATGGTAACTATATATTTTTTCATTTGATTTCTCCAGGACTTAGCACAGAACCAGGTATATATTATATGCCTTTAAATATTTGTATAACTGAATTACTATACTTAAGACTCAGAACCTCTTGTGGCTCCTGGGTGGCTCAGTTGGTTAAGCATCCAACTTTGACTCAGGTCATGATCTCGCATTTCGTGGGTTTAAGCCCTGCATCAGGCTGTGTGCTGACAGCTCGGAGCCTAGAGCCTACTTCGGATTCTGTGTGTGTCTCTCTCTCTGCCTCTCTCCCCCACTTACACACTATCTTTCCCTTTCTCTCTTTCTCAAAATTAAATAAACATAAAAACAAGAAAAAGATCGGTACCTCTTGAACAGATTATTGCATTAGCCCATAAACTAGCCTCTTGCCTCCAACTCCCTTTCTTTTAATACATTCTATTCACTGCCACCAAAGTGATTTTGTTAGTTAACTGCTTACAATTTCTGATTCCTGAGAGCTTAATAAAAAATTTAATTTCTTGTCCTACCTACCAGGGCCTCTCTAAATAGCCCCTGCCTAGCTTTCTAACATCATCTATTATTTCCTGCACACCACTTCAGTCTCTAGCCAGATCAGCTGCTGATTTTTTTCTCCCAATATGCCATGGTGTCTCTGAGTCACTGCGAGCTTTATCCACACATATGGTATCCTGGTTGATAGAACCAGGCAAATGCCCAGTCTTGCCTGTCCCTACTACTGTAAAATGTGAGTACCATATGGATGAAGGCATGGCAGTGAGCCCATCTGTGATCTACTTTCAGGCTCTCATTTTAGCTGAACTACAGCTTTTTATCAGTTCTTTCTTCCTCCACAATCTTTTCATCTTCCTCTGTAGACTCTGTCTCCATTCCCTTGATGAAAAATCACAATTACTTAACCTTTTTTTCTTTAATTTTTTTAATGTTTATTTATTTTTGAGAGAAAGAGAGAGACATAGTATGAGTGGGGGAGAGGCAGAGAGAGAGAGAGAGAGAGAGAGGAGACACAGAATCTGAAGCAGTCTCCAGGCTCTGAGCTGTCAGCACAGAGCCCAATGCGGGGCTCAAAATCACGAACCGCGAGATCATGACTTGAGCCAAAGGCTG